TATAGCTCTGACATTACCTTGCTGTCATATTTTTAATGCTAGACGAACAAATAATATATCATTATATGATGAGGATTTATGCGCAACTCGTTGGACTAGACAATACTATTATAAAAACCAACGCGTATTTAAAATGCCTACTACTACTATAGAACATTCTATTAATGAGGTGACGGAATGTAATAGTTTGACAGTAATTAAAAAAAAACCCAAGAAAAAGTTAACATCACATGACAAATTTCGCCATACAACCATTATAGGAAGTAAAATAGCTGATCTTCTTTCAACGTTATCTACAGAAAACTTTGAAAAGAAAATTGATCAACTAACATACATGTATAACGCTTGGAATAAAGGAAAAGAGTTATCCATAAAAGTTATTGATGAAGAAGTTATCGAAGAGATAGAATATGTAGACAATGCGTGCAGTATGCAAGTAGACAATAACTCAGATACTGATGGTAAGTAGTCAAGAGGTTTATTGGAGTGGACACATGGGTTTTGATATTTCTATGTGGTACAATCAATATTTAAATAATAACTAAAATGTATAATTTGATGCACTCACATTAGATTTGATTGAAGAGATAGAATATGTAGACAATGCGTGCAGTATGCAAGTAGACAATAACTCAGATACCTTAGAGAACATTGTTGATACTGAAAGTAAATATTATTTTAAATAGAGGGGAGCAATATCATACAATTATAAAATGATAAACTATGTACTATGTCTATAGCAGATTTAAAGTCCATTAAACTGCCTTCAAAAATGAAGATATCTGGACATCCCAAAGGAATTACAAAGACAACAATTGGACTTCTGAAAAAGAAAAAAGGACTACCTATATCATTCAGAATGCAGAGTACTGAAAAAAAACAAAAATTATTATTGAAATGGATTGTTACAGATGAAAGTATTATGACCAAAGCGTTATATGATAAATACATCATTGATGACACAGATGTATTATGTCAGCAAGATAAAATACACTGTGGGATTTTAGAGGAAGACGTTAAGTTAGATATAGTTAAATGTTTTTTCTCCAATCAAATGTGGAAATCATTATTAAACAGAATAAAAATAAAGCGGAAGGAAGTAGTTTGGATTTGTCCAACTTGCAAAGAAGACATTGGTTTACAACAATCAATATTATGTGATTGTTGTTTGACTTGGTTTCATATAAAGTGCGATTTAAGTATTAAACCTAAACCTAAGAGGTCCGATTGGTATTGTTCTGAATGTTGTAAAAAGAAATTGTAATGTAATATGTAAATGTTTAATGTGATTATTTATATGTATAAAAATGAATTATTAGAATGATGGTTAAGATCAAGATTAAGTCGATTAACACAGGTAAATATACTATACCTTCGCTTCAATTATTTAACACTTGTAATAGTCTTGTTTTTCTTCCTATTATTTCCATTATGTTCTATAGACTATAATGTGTCAATGTGATTATTTATAAATCGTATAATTCGTACACCTAAGTTGTAATTAATTTACGCAGGATTTGATAACAACTGATAACAGTGATAACATCGTGGCGAAAATATTAAGTCCCCGCGCATGCGCAAAACAGTGTCCGGGTACGTATTAGATACCCGGTGTCCGGGTCTCTAGCCACAGCGTTTACTTAAAGTGCTTTAAAAATGAAATAAAGTTAAAACATTATACAATTTTGTTAACTATTTATTTGTTTCTTGTATTCATTGACATTTTTTTTATAATGAGTTCGTCAAACAAAAGAAAACGTTCTTCTAATTTTAGTTTTTCAGATAAGGAACTATTATTGAAAATTGCGCTTTACAGGAAAGCAATATTGGAAAATAAAACGTCCAATGCTGTTACCTGGAAAGATAAAGAGAAAACTTGGTCAGATATTGCTTTAGAATTTAATAGCCAAACTGGTGGTTCGGTAAGTACCAATAAATTATATAGAATACATTTTTCTGTAATTTAACTAAAATGTTTATTTTATTGTTGATGCTATATTATCATTATTATTTGTACAGCCTAGAGATGGAAACAGCTTGAAAATGAAATATGAGAATATTAAAAAATCAATGAGGTGCCCAAAATCAGCACTATTTGTGACTGGTGGAGGACCAGCTCTTAGGATACAAGAACCATCATCTGATTATGAGGCAGAGTTATTTAGAACCATACAAGTTTCGGTCGAAGGTGTACCCTGTGAAATTGATTCAGATGCTATTGATAGTAAGAAGTTTATATATTTGTTAATGAAACTATTATTTTATTAATTATTTTTAAACTCAAAATAGCAGACATTTCAAATACCATGGTGGTAAATGAAGATCATGATCCTCTCTTATCCCAATTACAAGAGTTTGAATATAATGGTATGACTGATGAGGATGATGTTGAACAACCATCAAATACAACATTTTATTCCTCAAATGTTGATGATGGTAAGTAAAACAATAGTACCTAATTAAAATATGTTTATTTATAATATTATAATATTTATAATATTCAAAACTTCAATAACCGTCTCTTTAGATAATCGAAATCGGGCTTTAAAATCGTAATCATCCCATTTATTAAAATGATCGATCCTACATCTTATAGTATAAGGTCTTCGAACATAGTTCACATACATGTTAAATTCATCATCGTCATCTTCAAAGAGTATAGCATGGTCCATGATGAGTTCCATGATGGGTATTGACGTATTGTCGTAACTCGTATTGAGTATAAAGTACAGGTATAAAATAATAACGAGGATAGAAAGTATTGAGTATAAAGTACAAGTATAAAAAAATAACGAGGATAGAAAATGTCAAATTTGCATATATTTTGTTACCTGATTTTTGTTGGTAAAAAAAACAACAATTACATAGGTATTATGTAGTTTAACCGGCAGTTATCGGTTTAATTGGAGGAAATATTAGCGATTAACTTAACTGCTAGTTAAGCCTTTCAGTTAGCTTAATCGAGGTTTGATAAACAGTTTAACTGGGACATACATTTAACTGTCAGTTAAATCTCACTAACTATCAGTTAAATATGATTGAAAAACCGGGCCTAAACCAACTAAAATAATTTAACTAAATAAATTTAGTACATTCAACCATAATTAATTTTGTCACATATATAACTCTAAATTACAGTTGGTTCAACCATAACAATTGTTAAACCAGCTATTTAGTTTTTTCCATGCATTTGTTTTTAGTTGAAATAATTAAACAACTAGGAACACAAAATATGACTTTATCTGAAAGTTTTTGTTTAATAATTAAATTAGAAGAAAAAATAAACATTATAAAGGGGCAAAATTGAAAACAAAATATTTTCTCCAAAATCAAGGGCCTAAAAGTATTACATAAAATTAGCAAAGTATTATTAGGGGAAGTGGAAGCAGTTGAACTAGATGAAAACTATCATGACCCAATAAGTTCTTTTAAATTTGCTCTATCACTCAACGAAAAATAACGATCTATTTTAACAAATCATATTTATCAATCATCAATAAAACACCTTTATTAATAAGAAAAAATAAATTATCAAGACTATAAAAAAAATATTAGGTCTATAGAAATTGTATTTAATTAATAAATAGAAAATAAACGTTTTGATGATTTTATAAATCTGATTTATTAAAATGATAATTTTATTTTCAGTTATTGTATTAAAATGTTTATTGAACGAATAAATCATTTGTTAAGCTGATATAATATTTTATATTAAAAATTTTAGAATTGCCCAAATTTTCGCGTATTTTAACAGCCGGTTCCAGCAACACTGATAATATTTAGTATTATACAGAGTGTGAAATCGTGTTTTTCAGTTTTTGAATAGGAACTATACTGAACAGTTAGAAAACACGATGATCCATCTATATGTTCGCAACATATAAACATGTTTGTATACCTATAGTCTTATACTTAAATTTCAAATAACTGAATAAGATTTTCTCATATTTAATGTTCTTATATAAACAGTACATCATACTGCGAGCACACAGAAAGTTACTAGTAATAATTATTACTTAATAGTTAATACCTATTAAAAATATTTTGTCACCGTCATCTGTCACAACTCGCAGATTTGCGAAAAATCGAGAAAAATCGCCGAAGCTGCTTTATACAACTGAATATTTATACATTATTTCCACAATTCAACTTACTATAGCCACTAAATAAGTACCTTATTTTATTTTTAGAAAGATAGATTACATAGATAATAGTTACATAATTTATAAGAATGCATTTTTATTTTGTTTTATTTAGTTTTAAACCAATACCTGTAATATAATAGTTCTAACTTAGATAAAATTAAAAATACAAAACTTATTTTTTCATTTACTAAATGGTTATATAAATTAAAATAATAATATAATAAAACAATTTTATACCATAATAATATTTATTTTTTCTAATAATTACAAGGTATTTATAAAAGTTAAATATTAAATATTAAATATATATTTATCTACAAGGAAAATGATTTGTTTTCTTTGTAAAACTAATGCCAAAAATCTCTCCTCTCTTGCAGTACATTTTAAAGTGTTTCGTCCATTAACTCCTTATAGCACTTATGAATGCTGTGAAAGTCCTTGTTCACATATTTTTTCATCATTAGCAAAATTTAAAAGACATGTTATTAATAAGCATTAAAAACAAAATGCAATTTCTAGTACTAACCCCTCATAAAGTTCTCAATGCTTATTGGAACAGTGTACCAGTAATAGTGACAATGAAAACCCTGTGGCATTGAATATAATTCTGAACAAGAAACAATAGAAAATGTTTTTAACTATAATAAATCTATTAATAATATTTATAAACTAGATATTGATTTTGTTATGGGTTTGCACAACAACAACAATTTTAATTTTTAAAACATTGTAATTCAAAGTGAACTAAAAGAAAAAATACTAAAACCAATGTCCCTTATGCTTAGTGAAATAATTCATATTAATATTCAAGAACCAATAATAAAAGGTAAATTTCATACTTTTTCTGTACTTTTATCAGATTCGTTTATTCACTGCAGTAATAAATATGATTTGAATAAGTGGTTGATGCAAAATGATTATTTAGATAATTTGGAACAATTAACTATTAACAATGAGGTTTGTGTGGTCCAACATGATGGTAGTGACTTATAATGAAGCAATTACAAAAAGGGTGTTATTACCATTGAGATTTCAATTTCAAAAGTTTTTTGAACACGGTGATAATTTTCAAAATATGTATGAAAAAACTATAGCTTGAAACCAAAATAATTCCAATACTATTACCAATTTTATTCAATGTGATTTATGGAAAAATAAAATATCTCAAAACAATCAAAACCTTACATTTCCTTTTTTTTTGAATTGTGACAATCTAGAAATTAACCAACCCATTAGGTTCCCAAGCCAATTACTATTCAATATCAACAATATACTACAATTTCCCATTGAATGATAATAATTCTTTGCTATCTCATATATTCTTAGCGTCGTTAATAAAATCAAAAGATATCAAAAAATTTGGAAGGTTTGAAAAATCTCATAGAAGAAATTAATTACTTAGAAAAAGAGGGCATACAAATTAAAACTAAAAATGGAAATTTTTAAATTTATTTTGTACTTGGATTAGTATTAGGTGATAACTTAGGAGTAAATACAATTTTAGAATTTCGCAAATGGTTTTCAACTAACTATTTCTGCCGTTTTTGTAAAGCTCATAAATCAATTATCCAATCAATGACAACCGAGGGTAGAACTTTAATGCTTAACAATGAAAATTACTCATTAGATGTATTACAATCTGATTTCAGGTAAACTGGTATTTATCAAGAATCCATTCTAAATAATATAACTAACTTTCATGTAACTAAAAATTATATTGTTGATATTATGCATGATTTACTTGAAGGAGTTTCTCATTATAATGTTTGTCGGTAATGTAAAGCGTGTGATCTACTATTAATAGGTAACGGATAATATGCCTTTTGAGACTAAATACACGGCGATAATGTACGATAGCGTCTTGAAAAAACCGATTAAATAAATAAATATATCTTAATAAATAGCTAACAGGTCATCAATGTTTATGGTCAATATTAAAATTTAAGATATTAAGAAAAATGCACAGGACTTATGAAAATCTATTACCAGCCATTTAATTGAATGTTGGTACCGCTCAAAAAAGACTAGAAATAATTTATTTATACATTTTGTGGAAGATATAAAAAAAGTTAATGTTTAATAAAAATAATATTGTAACTATTATCATATTTTGAACACAATTTATATATTTTGAATTTTTTACTAATACTAATTGTATGATACTTGTTTTGTGTACTTTAATGTATTAAATATAGTTATTTTTTTAATTGAATAATAATATAATATAATATAATATTAAATATTTATTTATTTATCTACTGTTTTATCGGTAGATCACACGCTTTACTACGGCGGACCCGACGATCACACGCTTGACCAATGCCTATTTGTCACATATTTAATTACTACATATAAAAAAAAAAAATTATTAACTTTGAAAGAACTTAATTATAGAAAAAGTACATTTAATTATGGGTTATTAGAAATTAGAAATTATTCACCACTAACACTCGATGTACACTTAAAAAAATTTCTATTAAAAATGCC